TTTTCTAACAAATGAATTCCAATGGTCAAACAAGAGACTGATCATAAGGTTGATATCAAGTCAGCAGTTGTAGTGTTGTACAAAAGCCTTCAAGGGCGTATCCTAAGATTTATTGAAGCCTTGGCTATACGGAAACTGAAACCCCCTTTATGTGTTCATAAACAATTCGTTCTTACCCTTAACCTAGCCTAGTAATATTGGTTTATTATCCAAAGTGGCCGTCAATTGTTTTTGTATATTTTTTAATTGTTGAGATCATGAGTCAATTAAAGACAGACCAACATAGAAAACCTGGAAGCACTGGACGGCCGTTTCGTCCTATTGCGGGTCTCGCGCGCCAGCATTTAACCACTGGACCTTTGAGCCGGCATCCAACGGTGTTATTGTTTAACTTCAACTAATCCACGAAATTGAGCGACACACCCACCATTGTCATCAGTGAGTTACTATCTCACAACTGACTCTGTTGAACTCCACTGGTCACGGCTTCTCACTAGATCTCCAGGATATACATCTTGAAGCCATTCATTAGTGAGCATATGTTGATTAATATCAGAAGGGGTTTTTGTAGAAATTTTAGTTATTTCAATTGTTGAGATCATGAGTCACTAGTGACTGGCTTCAAGATGTATGTCCTGGAGATCTAGTGAGAAGCAGTGACCAGTGGAGTTCAACCGGGTCAGTTGTGAGATAGTAACTCACTGATGACAATGATGTATGTGTCGCTCAATTTCGTGTATTAGTTGAAGTTAGACATTAACACCGTTGGATGCCGGCTCAGTGGTCTAGTGATTAAGTGCTGGCGCGCGAGACTGATAGGTCCTGGGTTCGGATCCCGCCGGGTGGGATCGTGGATGCGCACTGCCGAGAAGTCCCACAATAGGACGAAACGGCCGTCTAGTACTTCTAGGTTTTCTATGGTGGTCTATCTTCAATTAACTCATGATCTCAACAATTGAAATTACTAAAATCTCCACAAAACCCCCTTCTGATATTTTATCTTTCTTTGTTATGGCTTACCTTTAACCTATCTAGTTGACCTTTTAGTTTTCATATAAAAGTGTTCTTAACAAGTATATATGTGATCAGATTGTTCGAAATTTATTGCGCAATTAAATCACATATTTCTGATAACCTTTGTCTTCTCATTGCATTAAACTTTTTCTACTATATTCTTTCAAAGTTTATCAGCATCGTGATATTCTGGGCTGCACAATATACTACTTTATTCAGTGAGACTAATTTATGAACGACCTTTGAGCGGCGTCAAAGTGACCTTGAGAGTGTCCACCTAATAACTAGGACCAAATGAGAGTTATAAACCAGTATGGGGAATCATAATTATGATTTACAGTTGATATTTAAAATTAGAAATTAGATTTAGGGTTTTTATCACGAAATGACATCAACTATAATGCCAAAACTCTATATAGCCAAATGGTTGAGTGACATTTCGCGCCAAAATCTAGGACCTGTCACTTTATACCTGATTGGTTCATCCATAAATTATAGTCTCTCCGCATAAAACAATAATCTTCATAAATTTCCTTTCTTATGATATTTCCTTTCAGATATCATATGAATATTTAATCTTGGCACTTGGAATAACTTTACGTTATGATAAGGTAAATATTTGTAACGTATATGTTCATTTTTCATAGACAAATTTTGAAATCATTATCTCATGCTTATATTGTAGTTAAGCTTCTTGTAACATTTAGGTATTAGAATCGCTGAGCTTGTTCATTGATTTTTCACATCTGCATAAATTGTGTCATTCTGATTTCCGGCTTTTCCTCTGAACATTGTGTCAGTTTGTGGTCAACCGATCATTCAAACGCAACGTAGAATCTGGTTCATATGTATATAATTAATATAACTTGGAGGTAGTATCCTACTTGAATAGATCAAAATGTATATCCTTAACTGAGATTGAGAAACAAATATCAGACGTTAAAAATCACAAAAAGAAGTATAAACACTCACTTCAGAGACATTTCCTTGACCACCATTAATAATATCACAGATATTCTTTTCTAATGTTCCCACCTAACCAGCTATAAATAAGGCATCATAAAAGAATGAATTTACTCAATTTATGTGTAATGCATGACGGGAAATCTGTGATTAATATGATAATAGTTATCTTTCAGTAGGGTAGAACTGATTGAATACCAAAAAGGATATGACATTAGTGAACAACATTGTCTGTGCTTAGACTGTCATCAGGTTTTACGCCAATCGTACAATAAAATTTATACACATATATATGAATAAAGGATATTCGTATTTGAACAAAGATGTCTTCAAACAGTCAGTCGGTAGCAAAATTTAACCTGATATGTATGTACATCAATGAAAGTTGTCATACGACATTCGCTCAGAAAGATGAAATTATTAAGGCGAATTACACAGTGGTGATAGAAGTAGTAACAGTATCAGTGGAAATGGAAAAAACTGAGCATCGAAGATACGATTAGAGAAAATACAAATTTGTGACTTCAAAAGAATTATGAGGAATTCAGAAGCTCAGAATTAAGGAGGATACAAAAAATGGATGCAAATGCGCCACTCCAAATGATTTTGAGCTATATTATTTACAGTCTCTAACCATTGGTTACGATAATCACGCGGTCCCCTGACCAGATAGTTTACATCTATTAACATGACCACATTTCGTCCGACCGTCCCTAAATTTCTTCCAGCCTAATCCTACACCACATAACACCACAGGTTGAGATAAGTGGAGGTTCGGGATACTTAACATATATCAGAACTAACTCAGTTGATAATCATTCACTACCTCATTAATTAATTCACTATCCAACCTAATACTTATGTATAGCCTCGACGTGGATCATTAAACAGTCTCAAAAGATAACAGTGATTCTTCGAAAACACTTATGATCGACTGCTAGCAGCCTAAGAATGTCATTTATTCTTAATGGCTGTTTCACTAATGCTGTTGCTTCTGTTCAGTCAGAAACAACGTAGAACTTCGTACGTTGCTTCTGTTACTACTCTGGGACTTTACTTGACAGTTCTATCTCAATGTAATAATACTTAATGGTGGGGAAGATTTGTAGTTCATGTGGATGATTTTGATGGAAGAACACCTACTCCGAAAGGGATTAAACTACAGTACAAGCGACGCCTCAAAACTTAAATTCTTCGCATCACTAGATTCATCACTCAAAACTTCCGGAATCAGTGAAGAAACACAACAAGAAATAAGGCAAACTGTAGTACCGCTAACTCAACAGGTGAAGGAAAACAACCAACTGACCCCACAAGAGCAAAAAGCTTTGAAGGAACTCAGAACCAGAAAGGATATTGTCATAGTTCCAGCGGACAAAGGACGCACCACAGTAACTATGAACAAAGAAGAATACGTCGAAAAAACCGAAGAACTACTTGAACGTAAGAGTGCATACAAACTGATGGATATAAATCCCGTCAAAAATTAGACAACTGAATCTCAAAGACTTTAAACAAGCTAGTCAATGCAGGAGAAATAACAAAACAAGACCGATGGAGAATGAAATCCAGTGGACCAGTACTCCCTCGATTCTACGGCAGACCCAAAATACACAAACCAAACATTCCACTACGTCTAATTATAGCACTCTCCGAAACACCAACATACAATTTGTTAAAAGAAATTTCAAGAATACTGAATCATTTAGTCGATTCATCCAACCACTCCATCAAATCCCCCACACAATTCCTGAACCAAAATATGGACATTCAAACCAACAACGACGAACTGATGATATCCTTCGATGTAACAGCGTTATTCACCTCAATTGAACCAAGGTTAGCAAGAGAAACCATATCCCTGCTCCTCACTAACGACACAAATCTAAGTACACGAAGCTTCGAATTCAAAGTCTACTAGAACTCATCGATTTATGCCTAACAACACTTTCAATTCAACAACAAAATCTACGAACAAACGAAAGGGACACCAATGGGATCAACAATATCAGGACTGATCGCAGAAACAGTGATACAAAGACTAGAAGCCGCGATATTACCAGTGATCAAGCAAAAAATTTGGATTCGCTACGTAGACGACACCTCCGTCATCGTCAAAAAGGATGAACTGGAAAACACATACAAACTGATCAACAACGTTTTCAATGACATCAAGTTCACAATGGAACAGGAGTCAAACAACCAACTAGCATTCTTGGATGTATTGATCACTAGAACTGATACAGGAAAACTGGAAACTCAAGTATATAGGAAACCGACTCATACAGATCAAATTCTCAACTACAACAGCAACAACCCAAGAGCTCACAAAATCAACTGCGTACACACATTGTTCAAGAGGGCGAGGACACACTGCAGCACACTGGCAGCACGAAGAAATGAAGAGAAATACCTAAAGGATGTATTTCAGAAGAACGGCTACCCAATCAACTCCATCAAAAAGCACCAACGGCACACAGCATCAGAACCCAAGTCAAGCACAGAAATCAACAAAAGGATCCCCTACCATACATAAAAGACATATCAGAAACCTCAACGAGACTGCTAAAAACCTTCAGGATAGGTGTGGTACACAAACCAACAAAATCACTACAATCAATCTTATGCAAACCAAAGGATGAAATAACAAAGGAAAACAAATCAAACATCATCTACAAAATAAATTGTGCCAACTGCGAAAAACACTACATCGGACAAACCGGACGCCCCCTTCACCTTCGCCTATATGAACATCAATTAGCAGTCAAACACCATGATATTTCCTCACTTATATCAATAGACGTGGACAACTGCGGACACTCATTCGATTGGGAAAATGCGGAAATCTCGGACAGAGGAGATTCCAAAAACACCAGAGATATTTTAAGCACTCAAGTCAATCAGCAATCAATAAGCACATTGAAATCGATCCAATTTATCAACCAATCAGGAAAATCATGCACAAATATAGGAACAAAAATCAAACCAATGGGAGACACAACCAAAACAAAGAAGTAAACAATGACGGATTTAAGGTCGACAAGTGCCAATCAACATCGAGGTGTACAGGACAAGCTGTGAACCACATGTGGAGATATTTGAACACTTCACTTCTACCTGGAGTTTGTGTTAATGATGTCGTTCAGAAGAACGATGAAAGCTCTAGCCCAGAGAACAAAACTTCATCAAAAGCAGATACTTAGTTACAAAGTAAACCAATAGAAACATGTTTCAGGTTGTACGTTGCACATGACTGACTGCGTGTTGTGTTTAACGGGACTTACAGTCAATAAATTTATGGGTATAGATAGAATGACTTTAACAATCATCAAACAACCTACTCATTAATTTCACACTAGTTTTCCTGCCTCTGTATATATTTGATTAATTGTTTTTCCATTTTCTTCTCTAAGGTTATTGGAGCTGAAGAAGCATTGAAAAATGATCCGCGTGTTTGTTCAAATTATTCTACAGATTATGTAGAAAAAACTTATAAAGCTTATCAAAATTTCAATGGTGGAAATGCTGTGTTCACATTACCAGCTGGACCAATTAAATGCGCTGGTGCACCACAAAAAGTTATGTACCTATTTGAAGACTACATGAAAAGGGTAAGAGAATATTCTTGTTTTGATTAAATTGGTATAGTTACTATCATAATTAACCTTTGTCAGTTGTCTAGTGAACCACTAAAAATATCAGGTAATTTATGACCGGCTACAATCGATCCACCTAACGAGGTGGAATTCCGGAAGGAACCCTGACTTTTAAAGCTAAAAGAGTCACCAGGCCTCGATGACTTACGTCCGGCCCTTTTTAAAGATGGTGATGGATTTCTGATCAGGGAATTGTTTGATCTGTTTGCACAAGTTTTTAAATTATAGTGTGGTGTGTGCTACTTATATTGACATAAGTAGTAGATGATGTTAGTCGTGAACAGAATGTCTAGTAGCAGAGAGACAAGAGGATCGAACAGTAAAAGATGGAAACAAATGCAATTTGTATGAAAATGCAAGAACAATGAAGTCTGAGTCATTATGAGACAACTGATGGACATTTTGCAAATTAAGTATTTACTATTTGATTGTTGGATTTTATTAACAAGTCCTGTAACTTTGTGTCATATACATTCGATTGTCCTCACTCGTGTTATGTTCACTACAATAGTATCATAACGTCCTAAAATGAGGTGATCGTTATCCTTATCTTGAAAAACGGTTTACGTCATCTATGAAACAGCTTTCAAGGGATAAGCCTACTTTCTCAACTTCCCTCCTTAATCTCTTCACAATCTTTTTTATTATGTAACGCATACTTATTTTAGTTCTTCTTTGTACTAATGTTTAAATGTTTAAATAATGATGATAATTAGGATCTTTTTGATGGTAATGCGGATCTCTGACTCCACAAGTCAGAATCTTATCACATGATATACTTCAATTATGTTTTATTTTGTACGGTTATTTTTTGTATTATATACAGTGAACAGTCATTTTAAAACTACAGAACAGTAGAAAATATGTTCTGAGTATCCAGACTAACATTACAATATTGGTAGTATAAGAGATAATTACTTTGTAATTTATGCTTTCTTAATTATTGAACTAAATGTGCTTCATATCAAAGTTAGCGATACTAACTGACTACTGAAAATCTTAAGTAACTGAAGTTTGATTCAAACTTATTTATCTATAATCAAAAGATAACTTCTTGAACGTTTAAATAAAATCTCACTAAACATATTGATAACTTTATTCTGTTGTAGTACTGCATAATATGACAGCCAAGGGTGATTGAAAATAAACTTTTTCTACTAAATTGTAGATAACTTCGAAATAACTTTCAGAATCTGAAATACTATTTTTATCCAAAAATTTTAAACAGTCTAAAGAGATTCATTATTATGTTCTGGATGTATTCAATAACTAGAGGAATAATATACTTTAAAATGCTAAGTTACTTATTTACTTACGCTTGTTACTCCCAATGGAGTATAGGCCACCGACCAGCATTCTCCAACCTACTCTGTACTGGGCTTTCCTTTATAGTTCGATCCAATTGTTGTTCATTCTTCTCATGTCTGTCTCCATTTATTGGCATAACGTGCTATTTGGTCTTCCTCTTCTCCTTCGGCCTTCAGGATTCCATGTGAGGGCTTGTCTTGTGACGCAGTCGAGTGCCATCCTCAATGTGTGTCCCATCCACTTCCAGCGCTTCTTCCTGATTTTCTCCGCCGAGATCTGGTTTGTTCTCTCCCATAGTAGGTTGTTGCTAATAGTGTTTGGCCAACGTATCCGAAGTATTTTTCGTAGACAGTTGTTAATAAACAATTGTATCTTCTGGATGATAGCTTTCGTAGTTTTCCAAGTTTTCGCCCTATACAGTAGAACTGTCTTGACATTTGTATTGAAAATTCTGACCTTGGTGTTGGTTGACAGTTGCTTTGAGTTCCATATGTTCTTCAGTTGTGAATATGCTGCTCTTGCTTTACCGATCCGCGCCTTCACATCTACATCAGATTCACCGTGTTCATCAATGATGCTGCCCAGACATGCAGAGGGAGGCTGAAGCCCCTCTGGGGCTACTACCGGTCCCAAGCCCGGATAACGGAAGAGGGTTGGGCATGGGATTAGCGACCCCATACCGTAGAAGACTAACTCGTTAAAAAAACGCTATCCAGAAAAAAACTGAGTTACATATACTTAAACTCTATCATAGCAACTACGACTTGGATAGTTCGGGTTTTTCTAAGTTTTACACCATAGCTTTGCTTTGACGTTTAGTACACAAAATTGTAGTTGTTTGGATAGCTTTTTTGCATATATTCAAAAAAAGCAATGTACCTTGAAAATTATCATCTGAATGTAATTAACATTTTGGATATACATTAGTTACCGGTTCCCTTAAAGAGGAAAAATACTTTGAAAGTGTTGTTGGGATCAGTCAACACTAATACCTTGTTTTGATTGGCCATAGAAAATGCGCATACCAACCCAGTCGATGATCATTCACTCCCTCATCGATCGTCAGTTTTTTGATTGTGGCGATTAATCAAGTTTGAGAAAGTTTTCTTCATAGACGGAATCTAATCGATAAACAACACGAAAAGGCGGAGAAATTGAATAGCTATTCTAGTTTAGGACAAATTATGCAATCAACCAACCAACTTAAGTGCCAGAATCCATTATGTTTAATAAAGATAAGCTTGTGAAGTTGTAATGGGGATTAATAACGAGTTGATTTTAACTGTGTATCACCGATGAGATTGGATTGTTATTATTACACTTTAACACAAATGTTCTGTAGTGGGAAATGTATAAACGATTAAATAATGATATAAACGAGTGGATCTTGATACAATAATCAAAACAGATTTCCACTGATGACACTTGAATAAATATCAAAAATGATTGTTATTCCATAAAATCGTATATATCAGTTTGCCCTAGAATATCAAGTGCAAAAGCTCAGCCATTGATTACGAAAAATATCAATTTTTGTACACACTTTTAAGCACAATACAATGAGTCATCTCATTTTTTTCAACTCTGTCTTTGCACGGAGTATTGCCTCCAAATGCCCTGGTACGGCCGAGAGTCCGCTCTCCCTCTCGAAATGCTCTCACATGACCATGCGTATATAGCCTCTGCCAGGAAAGTCCTACTCACCGCCTTCTCGTGGCACTATTGTTGTTTACGAAATTGAGAGGACAAAAAGCGAATGTTCGGCACTTTAACCGGGTTGGTGGACATGGAAAGTTCACCTAGGGTAGTTGCGAAACCTTGATTCCAAATCAATGGTCACATGGGCTCCAGTATCCTGAAGGAACAAATGGCGTATGAACCGATTATTGGTCACCGGCTACCATGGAACTGCATCTCCTGACGTTGTTCCACTGCCTTGTGGATCAGATTTTCAGGTTCCGGGTGTGGCCCCTTAAGAAAACCACCTGCTTCGGTTTGGGCACCCGGACTGTATCACAACCCTCACACAAATCAAATGAGATTTGTTTGGCGCATATGTATTTGGTGCCTCATTGTACCAATATCTATGTTTTAAAATAAAATAATAAAATGCTTATTATTCTTGTGACTTAAAGCAATATTGAGGCCATCCGCACAGGATGCACACATACCAATAATAGACTGATCAATCGCAATCTTAAACATCAATAGGGAGTTCCAAATAACCAATACAAAAATGAATTAATGTTAACTATCTCATTAAATATTATTATCATAAATCAATGTAATTGTGCAAATTCGAATCTCATTGATTATTTCAATTAACTTCCTTAAGATTGCAGATTTATACTGGTTGTTAACGAGTTCATATACTGATAAAAACTGGTTGCTTTGCTGCTGAATGCTTACATTACTATAACGAAAGTCTTTATTCATACTGGTTAGTTAAAACACTAAGAGAATAGTCATCAATTAGTAACCTAATTAAAGGTGTATCACTGTTTAAAGTAAATTGTCATATAATTAAGTTGCAGTTTAACAGTTAATGTCAACATCTAATTGACGAGTCTTAAACAGAATGTAATGCCTTCCATATATATATAATGATATGTTCAGCCAAACGACATTTTTTCAAAGCTCCATTCTCGGGTGCAACACTTATTGAATACTTCGTGATTTTCAGGGATTGTTTAACTGATATCTTTACTTACTAGCATCAGTGCAACTCCTTGTGTATGTGGAGCATTTTCTTTTTCATGTTCGGAGTATAATAGAAGCTTCCCTGTAGCTAGTCGTTGTTGTCCAACCTGCGTCCAACGTGTTTCACTGATTCCAAACACCTCCAAGTCGTATCTCCTCATTTCGGCAGCAATGTCGATGACTCTCTATGTCTCCCACATTGTACGAGCATTTCATGTATCTAAATTAATGATTGCTCTGGTTGTCACAAGAGGCATTAGCTTCTTGACTTCCGATGGAACTCGGCTTTCACCATGAGGCGTTATAACTCTTCTAAATGAAGACCTTCTAACTCTCAGGGTTGAATTTAAACGGTTTGAATTATTTTTTCTAGTTAACGTTTACTTTAGCAAGTTAGTTTTCTACAAAATGGGATCGCTAACCCTATTACCCAACCCTCTACCTTTATCCAGGCTTGAGACCTACAGTAGCCCCAGAAGAGCTCCAGGAGGATTTTACCTACGTATGCCCAACGACCGACTACCTCGACGTGCTATGTTCAGTGGTATAGGAGTAGGTTGGAAGAAAGCTAGGGGCGGCCAAACCAAAACATGGCACAAGTCCATGAAGTCACTGACAAGTGGACTGAGTCATGTTGGTAGGTGTAGACTACCTGGTTGGGGACCACGAGATGATAGCAACCGATGGTTAGAGACCCTGAATGACATGGCTCAAAATCGTTTGCAATGGCGCAGGTGCATCCACTCTCTGTGTTCTCCCAAATTCTAATCTTCTGAATTCTTCATGTCCCTTTTTTCCTCTTTCCAAATTTATTTCACTGGATTATACTCTTTAAATAACATCTCCAAACCCTAATCTTCCCGATTACTGCTTGTACTCTTATTACCTCTACCACTACGGGATTTGAATCGACAACTGCATCTCTGTACTAATGTAGTGTGGCATCTTGAACTGATGTACGTACTTACGAAGTTCTACGCTGTTACTGACTGACTGACTACCTGATATCCAATATTTCCTATTATATTTCAATGGTTTTTTTTTGTTTTCAAGTTTAAATTTCATTTACCTGATGTTTTCTTCATTCTTCTTTATTGATAGTCTGGTAAAAAGATTTTGGCAAATATTCATTATTTTACTGCTACTAATAAAATGTTCTCAGTTGATAAATATTCAGAAAATTTAACAGAAATCTGTAAAGAACGAAATATCACTTGTAATTTATCATATAATTTAGTTGAAGTAAGTAATTCATTATTGTTTTAATAATACGATATCAGTTGTAATATTTTAAGTTATATATATACAAACAGATACTGACTTAACTATATTTGTTTTCTTTGCCTGTGTACATCCTAACAAGATACTTTATAGCCAGTTATCTATTGATTTTAGATAATGCATTCTTTGTGTGTACTTTTCAAGGATGAATCTCTTATCTTGAAGCTTAATTGTTGATTCGATGTATCAAAATAGCATACTTTTATTCTATAAAGACACTGAAAAGCATTCACAATTATCAAAATGCTGTGAATAATGATGCAAGAAAGCGTGGAATGCATTTGTCTCCATCATTGAATGTCAAAGGTTGCTTCTAGGACTGGTCCTTGTCAAGCGTGTGATCACTTTATTTATCCTTGATTTTTTTACAGGCCCTGATAGATAGGTGAATCACGAAAGTTCGGTAAGAATAGAAAACCTGTGGATGGATCTACCTGTAGGGTAAATGATTGGAAGTACGCTGAGGGGCAGTTCATACTGTCTTGCCCAAATACGTGTTACATGGCTTATAAAACTGTAAAACATACATAAACTATACCTTGCTCATTCATATTGGAACTACCAAGTTAGTAATGTTGGGGTTAGGTATCGAGTTCTAGGTACAAAAGAGCAAGTCGATTGATCATTGAATCTGTACAATTAAGACCGGTCACCTTAAAGTCTCGAACCATTAATCACGATTATCATGCAGTTGTTATTCGAGAATTATGTACTGTTTCGAGCTGCTCAAATCAATGGTCAGTAACTTCATAGATTGATATCGTCTTAGGTTTTGTTCGGTCTGAACTTTCTGCTTAATCTTTACTTTAAAGAATCCAGTGACTATGTATGCCTGATACACTTGTCCTTTAACTTCCTCATTCTATCAAGATTCACAACGTTATTAATCACTTTTTATCAGTTCTATTATACTTGACTTCAGCATTACTTAATGATGTTTATATAATTTATGAACGATTGATTTATTGCATCATGTAGACTTGTTGGTAAATGTCATTAAAGTATAAGTTGAAAACTTGACCATTGTTTGGCGTAGTTGAACTATTTAACAGGTAACCACTCAGATGTATACTTATATAGTGTTTTAATTAATCCACTTTGGACAGCCAATAAATATCGCGTTAACCGTTACACTTGATTTGTACAACTAAGAATCAAGTACACAAAAATATGTGCACTCGGTTACTGAGTTCATGAAAATCATAATTTTGATTTTTGATGTCGGTGTACCAACTTAAGGATGGCCAAATCAAAACGTGGCATCAGTCCTTGAAGTCACCAACTTCTGGTCTGATTCATGTTAGTAGATGCAGATTACTTAGCTGGGGTTCACGCGACTATCGTAACCAATGGTTGAATACTCTTGGTGAAATGGCTCAGAATCGATCACAATGGCGTAGGTGTATACACTCTCTGTCTTCCCTTAAACTATGCGATTAAAACTGTTTTATATCTTTCTTTCTACGAACTAAGCCTTTGTTTCTGTACTATGCCCTTATACACAATCTTTCTTTTATATATTACTACCATTGAATTAACTACTTCTATGAATTTGTTCATCTTGTTGTGCTAATGATGTGTAGAAACTTGGACCGATGCATATATGCGCCTAGTCCTACGTTGTAGCTGACTGACTGACTGAAGTTGATTATTTTAAATGAACTGTCAGCTATCATTTTCAATAATGACGTCTGACATTAGTATTTAATGAATTATTATTTCCATGTAGTCTGATCAATTTCACAAATTCATTTACTGTTGAGTCGCCTTTCCGAGAACTTCAACGGAGCCTCCAGAGGCCCTAAAAGAGCCGAAAAGTCCTAGCCAATCAGAGCATGATGGAGCTTTCTAGAATATCAACGTGGCGTGCTACTATCGGTCAGTAGCACAATATGTCTTTTAGAGGATTGGCCAAAATTTGATGTTGATTTAACAGATGTTAACATCTATAAATACCCGTGTTTTTCCGTACAAAAAGGAACCTTTGGAGTAGTGTTTTTCGCTTATTTTCACATTTTCTCTCAAGTTCAGGTCGCCACGTAGTTCTAGCTTGCCGGTTACCAGAATAGCTTAGGAACCGAATAAAGCATTCGAATTCGCAAGACTTAACATTTAATCTTCCCGAATTTTATTATCTATGGCTATTTTGTTTTTCCATGTAATACTGTTACTACTGTGGGATTTGTATGAATCATTTCATCTGGCTTTAGTGAAATGGTGTTGTAGCAAGTGGGACTGATGCACATGTGTTCAAGATTCTAAGTTGTTTATTACTAAATTACTAGTTTGTTTCATCATTATTACTGCTAATAAAGATAAAGTCATTTTAATTATTATCAGTGTTTCTGAGCTCATATTGATTAATACATTTCTTAAAGATATCAATATACCATGTAAGATTCCTAGCTTAATAGGATGTGTTGAAGAATGTTTTATGGTAATCTACAATCGTTTTTATTGTAATTCGCTTGTGAAATGGTATTGTAGATAATGAGAGCAAGAAGTTTCATTGAATATTGTCAGTGATAACAACATCACCAAAAATCTTTTGAACTTGCTTGATGACTCACATAAAATAAACACATATGAAAACTTTTTACTACAGTAAACGTCATATATGAACAATTTAGTCTCATTGGGATATATTGACTATCGGGAAACTTTGGACGGGCTAACAATCAAATCGTTATCCCATTTTGTATTATTGATGCTCCTATGCATTGTGTGAACAGTAGACCTTAATTAGTCATTGATTTCGTCGTCATTCAAAGCTTTTCTTTCAGAAGATGATTTATTTCCTAAATCACAACTTAGAGTTAATCGATCTTATATCGTTTGTCGCATTTTGAGATATATCTTGATGGTATTTATAGACCAGAAAGTGGATAAGCTTCTGTTTACTTTCTTCCAGATATCGTATGAGTAAAACTAACATATTCGAGTTTTTTTTATGTGAAAAAAGTATTACACAATACTATTTGATTATGATGGAATTTTGTTCTCTGAGCTGAATGGTTTGGTCGTGGTGCTTTCATCGTTCTTCTGAACGACATCATTAACACAAACTCCAGGTAGAAGTGAAGTGTTCAAATATCTCCACATGTGGTTCACAGCTTGTCCTGTACACCTCGATGTTGATTGGCTCTTGTCGACCTTAAATCCGTCATTGTTTACTTCTTTGTTTTGGTTGTGTCTCCCATTGGTTTGATTTTGTTCCTATATTGGTGCATGATTTTCCTGATTGGTTGATAAGTTAGATCGATTTCAATGTATTTGTTTATTGTGCTGATGGTGTCGTTCAGAAGAACGATGAAAGCTCCACGACCAAATCATTCAGCTCAGAGAATAAAACTCCATCAAGATCATCCATCTGAGCTAAAAATCTCCACTATTGGATTATAAATAATACTAATCATTTAGGTTTAAGCAACCCTAATAATTTACCACAGTATTTTAAGAGTAATATTACTTCTCCTTGTAACAGTTACCTCAGCAATATTGTTATATACATAGATACCATCGAGTTAAGTATAAAATAGGAAATTTCTGTATCAACTATGTCTATATGAATTCTTATTTCTCTGGGTTTTTTTTCAGGTAGATTCACAAGCTAGTGAAGCAGTATTTCAACACATGGAAACTAAAGAACTTAAACGAATCAAAGTATGTTGTTAAGTAGAGTTTGGGTGTGTATTACATTTCTTTTTCAACTAAATTATTCAACAATATCTTGACCAGTTATAATTCTTATACTAAATATAAACGATGATGTGGAATCAATTAGTAACTAAATGTTCGTACAGTACTTTGCCTTCCATTAGTTGGCTATAGGTTTAAATTTCATTTTTGTAATGAGCACATTTTATTTACTACCTTACATGTAAAAAGTGTGCTCTAAAACCGAGTAAATGAACCTGTGCTTGATAACTAATCTGAAATATATAGAACAGAAAAGTGACAATGATTAAGATATTAATGAATGAGTGCTTTAACTCCACTCTAACTCACTGAGATTATGAGATAAGCTGTTTATACTCTGATTTCCACTGCCTAGTATACCTTAGTGACAAGACATATCACTTGGATAGACTACTTCATTTGATGAGTCCGAAATCAAAAGAAGAATTTATAACAAGCTAAAATACATTTCAAATAATGAATAGTAAAAGTTGTCGTAGTAAAAATGTTAATGGATAGGTAAAATCCACTTTAAAAATTATCCTACCGTCTTTTCACTGTCTGTCTTTTAGAGCTGATTTATTGAAATGAAAATCAGTTAGCTTGTTCCTGCGTGTTGCTGTTTCGAATATGCATTGTCCGAGGCCTTATCATGCTAATAGTTTATAAACAGTGACTAAGACCATGTCTTGTAGATCTCAATCAGTATACCTCGATCTACCAATACTTGTCAGACAAAACATAAATCGACTGTATTATCACCTTTCATCACTACTTACCTGATCTTAACGTTAGCAATGCTCTGTTTAGAATCATGATTGAATCCAAGGAATTGGCTCATATCTTCATAATTTTTAAGGCTATATCTCTCGGCGATAAATACATAGCTCTGTACTCTATGGTTGACAGATTTCCACTCATTGATTTAGCCAGTTTTGTGGTGTATTCTACTTATGTCGACAGATATAAGTAGTATATGTAACATCCGTGAAAAGTGGAATGTCTGACAGCAAAAGATTGAAAAGTTCCAATTGAAGAGAACAGGATTGTAGACAGAGAATAATTACAATAGCAATGAAGGAAAAATAGAATTTACGATAATTGATGAGAGATTTGCAAATGAGGTATTTAATGTATGGTTCCTTACATTTTACGAAAGAACTCTATTATTCTGCATTGATTAATAAACTGACTGCCCCCATCTGAGTTCTCGTTCACTACAGTTGAACGTTCACTTAATCGATTACCATCAGTTCTACACCTTTAACAATAATTTCACATGTGTTTATTACTTAAATACATACACATGTGACTTTTAATTATCTGGTAACTGTCTTGGACAAGATATTTTTTTCAAACAAAACACCATTGACGACTAAATGAAAAAAAATAGTACAAAATAATAATACGTTTTAATTTCCATAGTAAACAACCTTAAACTATACACGTACAACAATCCCAGTACTAAAGCGTTTTAGGAATTTCAAGGTCACAATACCAATTTCAGTACCGGATGCTCACGTTCGATCGGTTCACAGCGGAATTTAGAAAAGACATTATAATTGAGCGCCTACAACAAATAGGACTACTAAAAAGGTCCTTTATTTATGATTGTGGTAATCAAATGATTTGTGGGCTTTGTTCAGACTTACGTTTTGATGTTGTCTTTCTACGATTCCTCTGTATTTCTCACATTTGCTCAGATCTCCTTTCTTTGGTATTTTGATGAGGTGCCTTCTTTCCAGTCCATCTGCTCTTGTTCTTCTCCCAAGATCTGCCTGAATAGAATGTGGAGCGTGTTTGTGGTTACTTCTATGTCTGGCTTCAAAGTTTCCGCTGCTTTTTCGCTCCTGATTTGCTTGGTAGTCATCCTGATTTCTTCTACTTCCGTGAAGTGACATCTATTGAAAGGTTTATGTGCGCTGCTTCGATGTCCGTTGGATTCACTGGAGCTGGTCCATTCAAGAGTCCCTCCAAGTATCCTACCCATTTGGTCCTCTGTTCTTGGGTCTCGGTTTTTTTTACCGGTCTCTGGTTTATTATATCTCTCTGACAGTTTCTTCGTCGTGTCATATGGTTGTTTCACATTTCCTTCTCTTATAGTTTTTTCCGCTGTCGTCGTTAGCTCTTCCACGTTTTTCTGCTTGTCAGTTCTAACGCTCCTCTTCTACCTTGAATTTCTCTGCACTTGTTCGGCTGTTGTTAATTGCTGTCTTCTTGGTCGTCTTTTCTTGAAGTGTGTGCTGGGTTTCCATTCCTTATGATGATGCTTGTTACTGCACAGAACCTCGTGACACGTTGAAGTTAGCGCTTCTTTCATTATTTCCGGTTGTCCTTTATAGTGGTTTCTCCATTCAGTAGATCCTGTAAGGCTTGGAACCGGTTATTGAGAGTCTTCTCGAATTCGTTGTGTCTGTCAGTATCTCGAAGGAAGGATGTATTCAACCTTTTTAATGCTGTTTGTCCAGTTGTCCAATGCTTCTTTAGCTTCAGTTTAATCTTGGCCACAACCAGGTGGTTATCTTTAGTTATGTCACTCCCTCTCTTGGTTCTCACATCTTCCATTGACCTTGTGAATGTTTTCCTGATTCAAATAAAATTTATCTGGTTCTTCGTCGTTTGGTCCGGTGAGATCCATGTAGCTTTGTGAATGCGTTTGTGTGGGAATATTGTACAACCTATAACCAACTTAATGAATGCACGTAGATTTGCAAATTCACCGTCTACGGGAGTTGGAAAATCCTCATTCCAAACCATTGGTGCACATGAGCTCCAGGAACTTGAGGGGACAAATGGCGTATGAACCAATTATCGGTCACTGGCTATCATGGAACTTCATCTCCGGACGTTGTTCCGCCCCCTTGTGGATTAGACGTTTATTTCCGGACAGTATCCCAGCCCACACACAAATCAAGTGACTAGTGTGGTACTTATGTATTCGGTGCCCCTTTGTACCAATATTTATGTTTCAAATAAATAAATGATTCCAAAGTCACATTTATCAGCGTTAAAATTCAATCATTTACGTTTAGTTTTTATCGTGAATTACTTTATGTCAATTAACTAGGTCACAATTTGTTTACATTAACAAGTAATATAATTATTCATTAATTCATTCTAAACCATGTCACACATCGTTTCTGACTATTGGTTAGAAAAATGACACGGAGCCTAATCATGTAGTCTACGTCTACCAAAATATAATATTGAATAAAGCCATTAATAATAATAATAATAATAATAATAATAATAATAATAATAATAATAATAATAATAATAATAATAATAATAATTGCTCAGTTCAACAGTCTTTGTCTGCATGAACTAATTCTATGCTGGCATAGACAAGTTTGTAGTCTCAAAATACATCAGCGATGCTTCGAATACATCTTTGATCGAATACTAGTAACTTGCGAATATACTTATTAAGGGCACGTTTCACAGTTGTAAAGTAAATCCGGAAGGGCTTCCGCTTAGCGAACTAGTCTTTCGAATCGCAAGTGAATATCTCGCTTACTTTGAAAATAAGCGATGCTACAAACTCTAACCGGAGTTCCCAAATCTCTGTCAACATTTCGTCAGGCACCAACCCACTTGGATTGATGAAACTCCTGAGGTAAGTAAAGCGGTCAACGCACTCAACTACTTTACTCATTGTCGTTAATTCAGGCAGTGCCGCAGGCCGAAGCAAGATTGCTTTCATCGTTCCTTTAGGAGGTCAAAAAACTGTATTTTGTCTCCGTCTTCACCAATCGTGACCGTGTCATCTGCGTATTATTAGTCAGCAAGTGAATCTCCTGGTAGGATATCAATCCCTGGAAAGTCAGACAATATTTTTAAAATAATATGTATGACAAATATAAATAAAAATGAGTAAAGCGGACAACCATGACGAACAGCATTTGAGGTAACAACTTTCGTACTAGTCCTCTCTAATCTCTGACTCGATCAGTAGTGTTCAAGTAGAGAGCTCATTCAAAGAAATGTACTGTCTTATATATCATGATAACTGAATTCAACTACATTTGTTGGAACATTTGTTCCTTAAGATTTCACCGTAATAGGCAGGTCAATCGGAAAGCTGTAATACTAAAAACAGTAAACTAAAGATCTGACAGTGAGATCTTACTGCCAGTTGTAATGAATTGTGATGGCATTAAAGTGCTTTCCTCAAACAATCAACATTTTGGTGACACTGCTTTCCAACAATAAGAAGAAAGGGTTAGTAAAGGTTGAGCCTAATAGTAACTTACATCGTCTTCTCTTACCGGCAATGAAATCACAAAACTACAGGGCTATCGTAACAAAACAACCTAAAGAGGCACCATTTGTGACTGTTCTCAAACAGTTATCACTTGAGCTCTATAATTACACACCCAAATCATGAAAAGTCACCAGTAACCGATCCTTAGTTTTTACAAAGATAAGTGCCTTAAAAGCAAACATTCGTACTATATTGAAAATAAACTTCAGTCAAATTCATTCAACAATAAGTCATCGGTAAGTCGAATCCCGTTTAATTAACAGATTTTTTCACTAGGACATTTAGCCATGTCAGTTATCTGCTTACTGAAATCATTCCTCTTAATAGATGTATTATTGAGTAATTAGGTTACAAATTAACATGTGATGCTGTTAATTGACTACAATTGATCAGTACCTTTTAGTGTATGGTCTTCCCGATTAAATTGTCTCGATATTAGTACTGAATGATAAGTTTTAATTAAACTTATATGGCGGTTGGAAGAGGAAAACAGAGATAGGCATTTCGTCCTATTCAGAACTGGTCAGGTGGGTGTACTTGCACCCCAGTTTCATTGTACACATTTACACTTGAACTCAGTACTTTTCACTTCAAACGCGATTGCGTTATTCACTGAGTCCCACTGTAACCATCCATACTGGTACATTTAGTTGATGTGTTCCAAATAATGTGAAATTCTTATCCTATATTCCAATGTTAGCCATTATTCCAACTTTATCGTGTAATAAATATTTTTAGTTTTGATAAATGAGAATTTTACTTCTCACTCGCTGATCAATTATTGTCTTTTAATATTCCAGCGACTCATTTAGTTGTATAAGATGTTCGAAAAGAATGTAACACGAACCAAATCTTATAAATTGTTGACTCGTGTGTTGTCGTATGTAGTATATTCTTTTGATCATATGATGGTACACTTGGTCACTGCAAACTTAAAACTCATTCTGATCAAACAGAGTTACTACAAGCTTATTATTTACGCATATCAAATACTACTACTAATAATAATACTTCATTTTGACTTTTTAAATTACCAACATTCCACAAGTTCTTTCTATCGTTGAGGAAGCGTTATCATCAAGAAACATACCAATATCACTTCATTTTGTTGTTATTGTTTTGTCTATTTTGCAGTATGACTTTTTACATATCACTCCACCAATGTGTTGTCCGGAAATTTTAACTAAAACACCAAAATTAACTAATCCAAAAGCATCTGATTATGTAGATGTCAATGTGAAAACATTACGACATAATCATTATGATAATATATTTGCCCTTGGCGATTGTGCTGCATTGCCCACATCGAAAACTGCTGCAGCTGTAGGTAAGTTAATAAACATATTAATATTATTATGTTGAATGCCAACAACCAAAATCACATGACAAATCACTGGTCGAAATCCCGATTCTAATTTGGTCTATTTCGCGTTGACTAATTACTCTATGACCTAATGTTGCTGAATGGACCAATTTCACATCCAAACAGCACTATTAACTTCAAGTCAACAGCTAAGTTCTTATTGGTCCACCTGTCTCCAGCTTCACTCACTCTCTGTGACTTGCCTTTAATTTCAGAAATCAGCAACCAGCCTTTGTTATATTTCAAGCGAATGTAGTTTATATACAAGCAGACCAGACCTCATCACACTGTGAAATGAAAAATAACAATCATGCATAATCAACCCAAAAAGTGTTTGTAACTAAGGGAGACTAAATAACAAACTGATCCGTCAACTTAATCTAAACTTCATAATGCTGTAAATTATTCTAATATTAATATGGAGCTCTGTGAAGCATTGAATTAAGAAAGTACTAAGCACGTTATGATTCAAACATAACATCACTATGCAAATTCATCGACTGTTAAAATGATTCATATCATGATAGATATAGGCTTCATGATTGTGGAATATCCAAGATAGTCGTTAGTAATGATCAGATAACTCACAATTTCATTTTCTCATTCAATGTTTTCTACATAATCCGACAGGGCTGTCCACTCTCTCCATTGCTGTTTAAGTTTTTCGTTGATATTCCTTTAGAGATAACACTTTTCTCATCTAAATTCCCAGAGGTTGAACTTTTTCCGGGAGATTCATTTGTTGACGATGATGTTGCCGATGACGTAGTTCTATTTGGTGAAGACGCTGACGAAATTCAAAGTCTTCTGACCACTATAAGCAACAATCATGCATGTTCGGGACGCGATTTTCCCCCGAGAAATGCAAAATGTTGCTTCAGGATTGGGTTGCATCGATACGCGAACTAATGATAAGGAGTGAAGTACTTGAGCATGTAGATCTTGCAAGTCTCATTAGCCCTTGTGGTCTGGTGTGTGACGAAATCTCAGCACGGATACAGAAGGCTCAATTAGCTTTTGCCATTTTGCGTCATTTATGGCGTAGCCCAGATATTCGTCTACCAAAGTAAGGATGCGTTTACTGCGCAGCAAATCGATCCGTCCTACTTTATGGCATTGAGACATGGCCGGTAAGAGTATAGAATATTCTTAGGTTACTAGTATTTGACGACAGGTGTCTTCGAAGCATTGCTCGTGTATCCTGCGAACACCGAGTACGTAATTAAGTTGTTAGGAAACGGGTACTAGGTAAGGATGGCAAATCAGTTGATAAGGTATTGAAACTATATCAGTTGAGATGGCTGGGACACGTGCTACGTATACCAAACCACTGACTGCCCTGACGTGCGATGTTTTATGGAATAAAGCTAGGGGTGGCTAGACTAAAACATGGTAGAAATTCATGAAGTTGCTGACAAGTGAACTGAACCTTGTTGGTAGATGTAGACCACCTGGTAGGGATCCACAAGACGATAGCAACCGATGGTTATGGCAACTCTAACTGATGAACATATGTACGAAGTTCTACATTATTGCTGACTGACTGACATAATCCTATGTTTGTTATTATTCTATACATTTCATTGATTGATCTCATATACCTAATTTATAATCATATTTCTTAGGTTAAACTATTCACTACCTATTCATTTTATTCACTTCTCTCAATTTAATTAATGTTAAGATATGGCAAATCAAAACCGATACACATTAAAACTCAGATCCTACTATGATCATGATTTACTGATTTTTGATAATACTAGTCAGTTGATGCATAAGTTTAAAGTTTATAATAAATTGTTTTTAATAGATGGCAATTTATGTTTAGCTTAATTACTATACAAGAATATAATTTTGTATTGAGATTGTTGTGTTATCAGAAACATTCTCAATCACAATTGATTGATCAATGGATGATGATCAATGTCATGTGTGTCATGTCCTTCTTGGTGCAGATCGAATGCTATCGACCAAGTTGCAATGTTGGTTGGAGGGTTTCCTGTTGACTACCTCCAACCACCATCTAATTTCAACATTTCTAATGTTTGTTTAATGTCTTCACATAAAGTATATTTGGATATTTTCGTAAACAATTTTATACGTGATTGTTACGTAATAATGTGTAATGTTCATTAAGAATTTCGTTTCATGGTCTAAGGTTTACTTAGCCTTGTGTTTTTCATCCGATAAATAAGGTAGCAACAACATTAAATATGTTTTTTTGACAGACGTTCTTGAATGACTCTATGTATTTTAAAGGGAAGTATTAAGTGAATATTACATTCTAGTATACAGAACTTACTAACTAAATGTCCTGGTAAGGTCGAAAGTGGAGAGAGTCAGCTCTCCCTCTTCAAATGCTCTCACATGACCACGTACATACAACCACTGTGAGGGAATTTCAACTCACTGCCTTCTCGTGGCGGGGGTATTTACGAAATTGACAGAAAGAAAATTGAATTTCCGGTGCTTTAACCAGGTTAGTGGAAATGAAGGTTCCACATAAGGAAGTGGCGCATATATATTTGGTGCCCTCTTGTACCAATATTTATGTGTTCAAATAAAATAAATAAAAACATAAGTTGGAAAACCCTCATTGCAAACCATTGGTGCACATGAGCTTCAGAACCTGAGGGAACAAATGACGTATGAACCAATTATTATTCGCTGGCTATCATAGAACAGCATCTCCTAACGTTGTTCCGCTCCCTTGTGGATTAGACCTTTAGGTCTAAGAATACGGATGTGGCCCCTCAAGGAAACCACTTGCTTCGGTTTGGGAACTTGAGGAGAATCATAGCCCATACACAAATCAAGTGACTTGTGTGGCACATATGTATTCGGTGCCCCTTTGTACCAATATTCATGAGTTGAAACAACCATGTTTAGTTATCCGAATTGATCATAGCTCGATAGATGCATTCGCTCAATCTATTTTTCCTCTTTAAATCTTATTCTCGTGTATTCCTCCACATACATCTTTCCATTTCATCTTCTCACGTCATATTCTGTAGTTTATATCTTTCTTGTCATCATTTAACGTAGAATTATAGCGATCTTTTTGCAAATCATCGTTTTAATTTGGTTTTATTATTACTGATTTAGTTATGACAAGTTAGTCTAATGTATATTTGTCCGTATATTTGTACGTTGATTATATTTGATTAATTATTCATTTAGAAATCATCATTATTCGTATTATCAGACTGGGGGTTTATGGATGTTGTAGAGATTTTAATAGTTGAATTCATGAGTTGATCTAGGCTAGACGACCACTGAATACCTAGAAGCACTGAATGACCATTTCCTCCTAGTATGGGACTTCTGAGTTCGAGACCCGCGTGTGAGGTCTTAGATGCACACTACTGAGCAGTCATATACTGGGACGTAACAGCTATCCAGTTCTTCCAGGTTTCTACTAATGGTCTAGCTTAAATCAACTCATGAATTTAACTATTAAAATTATTCATATTATCTATTTAATTTTACTAGGCAACTATGAGCTTTATCAACATGTTTCATGCTTTGTATTATTTTAACAACAACAACTGGTGCTTTATAATCATTAAATGGACAGTATTAGTAAATCAATGAATTATTTCAGTTTGCTTCACTATAGACAAATTTGTTTCTTTTTCATGAAGCGTTTTGTTATTGAAAAATAAAATCAGTTTCAGATTTATTGATTGTATAACGTGTATAGTCTACGTTACCTAATGAAGGTATGTAGAAAGATTAGAACATTCATTACTTAAATTCATATATATATATGCTTAATTTACCAATCATATTATTGCTATTTTGGCCACTTTATTAATGAATTTACGTTATTGTCAAAAAAGATAATTACTTGATGACACTCCGTTGAAAGTAGAATAATCGAAGGTGTTATTTTGATGAGATTGTTGTGTGTGTTTCGGGTAGATTTTACTAAATTCACTCATGGTATTTGAAGTAGTTTGGTGTTTTCATTATTTCAAATTGTTGGATAAGAGAAAGTAAACTTTCATTTTATGATTGAACAATGTTATTATCTTAATTAGACTATCGTTGAAAATTTAGGGGCACTGAACAGCCGTTTCAACCCTAATGGGACTCTTCAACAGAGCGTGTGTACGAACCAAAAACCTTGATTCGAACTCAAGACCACTGGTCTCACGTGCGACAGTATTGATGTCTAACATTAATCAATACACGATGTTACGTAACGACCTTCTATCATTTGTGGTGAGTAACTGTCTCACACAAGAAATGTTTAAACTGCTCTGGTCGTCGCTTCTCTCTAAAGCTCTAGAAGTTTCATCTAGAAGTTAAGCAGTTGTGAACGCACGATTATTTTCAGTGTAAAGTTTCTATTGGGGATTCCGCTTTAGTCAGTGATCTAAGCGCTACGTGTTTGTGTGCGTGCCAGGATGTCTTGGGATCGATTCCCGGCTGCGTAGTCATATATATGTGTTTAAACATACTTGGTTATCATTCTCATTCTATTAGCTTGTGACTTACAATCTCTCGATCGCTATCCTTAGTGTAAATCAATACACGACTGTAAGATAATTTGAGCTTTTGTGTTCGTTCTGGAAAACGTCATCGACGCTTACTTTTACATGCAAACTGTCTAGTTCGGAAAGCAAAATCCTCTACAATTTCAAAAATTTAAGGGTAATTGTTTTTTATTTCATAATGTTTGTTCGGATCATTTTGAGCTAATAGCATTATCCACTTTGTTACCACTTAACTCTCATAGAAAATAAATTTTAACCACTTCTGATATAGTTCTCTGTAACTTACTTCTTTTTGAACAAGAGTCGCATGTCAAGTACATCATTCATTCACTCCAAAAAGTAGACCATTTCATATACTTAGATTTACCAACTAATTGTGGTTAGTGTCTTTTATTGGATTTTTTTCTCTTATCTCTGTTACTAACTGTTAATCCAACTTCTTTATCAATCATAGAGCCTAATGATACAATCATAGAATTCAGATCAAAGTAGAGGTGTTAAGAGAGTAGATTCGAATCGGTTACTGAAAAGTTTAAAACTCAAATCTTTTCTACAAATAACCTGCTTTTTTTCATACACCTGATTCATTACAATGAAATGTATCTTTGTTCATTTTAAGTGCCTAAGTACATGAAAACGTATCAATTATATCAATTACCATCTACTGTGAATACGTTGAGACTATAATAGAATAACCTTTAAAGCTACTTTTGTGAGGTGATCCGCACAGGATGCACATATGCCAACATGAGACTGATCAATCGCAGTCCGAAATAACAGTGGGAAGATACAAGTAAAACAACACCAAGTGAAGTTAAACTTCACCCCATTGCATAACCAGGTGGCTACCAGGAGTCTGTAGCTAAGTGGATAACGCGATAGCGTTTGTATACGGACGGTACTGGGTTAGAATATAGGAGTGAACAGCAACTTTGGGATGCATGTACGTCCAGCTGACGAGTCCAAAAACAGGACGAAACGCGCATCCTGGATTCCACTGCGAGCCACTATCCATCTTTGCTTAAAAAAAGTGCCTTATAACTACATCGAGGCAATCCGCACAGGATGCACATATGCCAATGTGAGACTAATCAGTTACAGTCCTAAACGGCAATGGGAAGATACAAGTAAAACAACATCATGTGAATTTTTACTTTTGTGAAATCTTAAACATTTTAGTAACCGACACCAATCATTTATTCAATAATCGATATTTATATTAAAGGTCTCGTTTTTTGGAGTACACAGCTTGAATGTGTCATAACCTGTATATACCGTCTACGTTTTGGTCACAATTTATTCATTACTTGTATTGATTGATTTATCTTTTTTATATATATTTATGTATGTGTGTTATTTTCTATTTATATGCAACTTACAACCCGATACATGCTCATTGATTTAAGTTGCCACAGCGAAACAAAATTATGCAAGTAAATTCTAGAGTATTAGAAGTAGTAATGGTATCAGTAGTAGTCGAGACCATTCGACATAGAAAAATGAAAAAAAGGTAATAAGGAAACTTCGGAACTCAGGACCTTGGGGAAATTAAAGACTGAATGTCCCTGCGCTAGTATAAAGGATTCTGATCCATGTCACCCAAAGTTTCTAACCATTGGTTACGATAGTTTCACTAACCGTAACTGGCTTACTACACCCACTTGCATGAGTCAGAATAACAGTTAATGACATCATGGAATAATACCATGGTTTTGCCGCCCGCACAACAAACCACTGTGAGATCCTCGGTAGACGGAGATTGGGGATATGAAACACTTGTTCTAACCACATCAGTTGATAAAGAGTTATTTCACAAAACATTTTGTTATCTTCACACAAAACTCCATGCCTGGCGTCAGTATAACTCACTTATTGGTGCTGAAATATGCGACCGTTCGTTCAAAGCCTTAGATAGCATCTAGAAGCTGGACCTGATCGCATCTGACTGGTCTCGATCTCTGATCGTCTCAGTTTACAAGAATGGACAAAAATCCTATGTTGATAATGACAAAGGAATTCTTTCAAATAATATAATCCCTAAAATATTAGCCTCAATAATATTTCGACGTCTAATTGGGGCTTGTGACGAACAAACTACAGAAAACCAAGCTGGTTTTAGACGTGAATGTTTAGACCAAATATTCACCCTTCGGTATGTTCTGGAACGGAGACATACTTTTCGACATCCGACAATATTTGTATTCCTCGACTTTAATGTGGCGTTTGACACCTTTGATCATGAAGTTCTGTGGTAGTTTCTGTCATTGAAAGGCGTACCAAAGAAGTACATTCACGTTGTACAGACTCTACTCGTAAATTAGAGGCCAAGTAACAGCTTATGGTGAATTTTCATTGGAATTAATCACTTCTAGTGGTGTCCGTCAAACTTGTCCACTTTCCAAATTTTCATTTAACTTTGTCATAGATATGCTTTCAGAGATAACACTCATGATCTTAATTTTCAGGTTATGATCTACCAAGAGATTCACTTGTTGAATTCGAACACACAGATGATATAGTTATGTTTGGTTTAGACGGTGACGAAATGCATGGCTTTTTACCACGTTAGGCACGAGTGCAAGCATGTATGGGATACGATCATCTCACTTCAAACACAAAATGATGCTCCATTATTGACCTGCGTCAGTGCCTATGGGATTCGCCTTAATAATTTCGTCTCTCTGAGCGAATGGCGTATGACAACTTTCAATAATGTTCATACATATGAGGTTAAATTTTGCTACCGACTGACTGTTTGAAGACACCTTTGTTCAAATACGAATATCCGTTACTCATCTATATGTGTATAAATTTGATTGAACAATTAGTGTAAATTACTAGTATAGGGGTTGTGGAGATTATTAAGTTTTTGATTGAGATAATAAACCGATTGATGTTAGACCACCTTTGGAAACCAGGAAGCACTGAACGGCCGTTTCGTCCTATTGCGGGACTCCTCAGCAGTGCGCATCCACCGTCCCGCTCGTGAGACCGAAGGCCTTGGGTTCGAATCCCGCGAGCGGGACCGTGGATGCGCACTGCTGAGGGGTCTCGCAATGGGACGAAACGGCCGTTCAGTGCTTCCTGGTTCCCAAAGATGGTCTAACATCAATCGGTTCATGATCTCAATAAAAAAATTAGCGTAAAACCTGATGACAGTCTAGGCACAGACAATGTTGTTCACTAATGTCATATTCTATTTGGTATTCAATCACTTCTACCCTACTGAAAGACAACTGTTATCATATTAATCATGCATTACACATAAATTGAGTAAATTCATTCTTTTATGATACATTATTTATAGCTGGTCAGGTGGGAACATTAGAAAAGAATATCTGTGATATTATTAATGGTGGTCAAGGAAATGTTTCTGAAGTGAGTGTTGATACTTCTTTTTGTGATTTTCAATGTCTGATATTTGTTTGAGTCACTTTACTTACGTAGTTACTTACGCCTGTTACTCCCAGTGAAGCATAGGCCACTGACTAGCATTATCTAACTCACTCCGTACTGGGCCTTCATTCCTTGTTCGATCCAATTGTTGTTCATTCTTCTCATATCTGCCTCCGTTTCTCGGCGTAATGTGCTATTTGGTCTTCCTTTCCTCCCTCGACCTTGAGGATTCCAAGTGAGAGCTTGCCTTGTGACGCAGTTGAGTGCCTTCCTCAATATGTGTCCCATCCACTTCCAGCGCTTTTTCCTGATTTCCTCCTCCGCTGAGATCTGGTTTGTTCTCTCCCATAGTAGGTTGTTGCTGATAATGTCTGGCCAACGGATCCGAAGTATTTTTCGTAGACAACTGTTAATAAACACTTGTATCTTCTGGATAATGGCTTTCGTAGTTCTCCAGGTTTCTGCCCCATACAGTAGAACCATCTTGACATTTGTACTGAGAATTCTAACTCTAGTGTTGATGGACAGTTGGTTTGAGTTTTTAGTTTTAAATATGCTGCTCTTGTTTTGCCTATCCGCGCCGTCACATCTACATCAGATCCACCGTCTTCATCAATAATGAGTTACTTTATCTAATGTTAACACGTTCGTCATGAGATTTAAAGGTGTTTGGTCTAATGCTTAATGGGTATATAGTTTTATTTGGGCACAAATCAAGTATCCACTACTACTGGTTCTTGGTTTTTATTTGTTTCTTAGTAGATATTCAATAGTAATGAACATCAATCAACCCCATTCTTTATAAACTCTCTAATGTAGTTAATAAGATAGAAAAGATGGACAAATATTTGAAAGTAAAATTTACAGTGATATTCGAGTCAAAGTATTTTCAATGTACATTTGTAAAAATATGTAATTCATAATTATCTACTGCATAATGCCAATTGAATTCAAAGAAGCAAATATTTCAACCATTTGAAATGATAGACTGGGAAATTTTAGGGATATGATCTCTGTTTTTCTGAGAACAATTCAGAATCGTAAATCTTCCAATCTCATAAATGTAGTCTAGTGAACCGTTAAGTAGTGTTGATTATGACTAATTGTTGTTACTGATGGTGTCCAAAATCTGATATTGATATATGGTGTGTTACGCTCTAATCCTCCAACTAACTACTTGAGCGAGAACACAAGAGTGACCGAGAAAGTATATTAGACTACTGAATAAAATGAACAAATACTCATTCATACATATACTACTCTATCCTTATAAAATTGACCCCAATAAAATGCACTTGACCTTTGTGTCACTTTTGATTGCCATCGATTGACTTTCTCATTAGGCTATTTCTGATTGGCTCTCCATATCATTAATTCAAATTGACTTATTTCGTGAAACCCCAATGATTTCTCTTGAGATGTTAATGAATATTTGTTGTTGAAGATGAGTGTTTTGAAGGTGTTTTGTTCTGTGATTTTTCTATTCTAACTGTCACAGCTGCTTATCTTTTCATGACGAGACCTCACACTGTGTTATCTTGAATTGATGAACTCATTGTTATATCTGATGTTTTCGACTTCTATTTAATCGTCTTGTCAGCTGGAATCAACTTTTAATTTATTTAACCTCATCTTAGTGTTTACTAGAATGCGTAAATGATAATCCACCCTTTTATCCTTTCAATGTACGTGCTTTTGCACATACATTTAGTGCAGTTGAATATAGTCTGACATGAGTTATTCAATATAGAATTAACATATGTTTTTCACTCATAAGTCAGTTGAATCTTGCAAATTATTGTTCACACAAACACAAATCAAGTATTCTGTTCATACATCAATAGTATTCACTATATTCATTTCATAACAGTCAACACCTATATCGTTTAGCAATGATTATTGATAAGTTATCGGGAACGAAATCAGACTATGTGCCAACTGCCTTGCTGGGGTGTGCACAATTATTATGACCAACGATTGAACAGCTTAACGGACATGGCCTTAGAATCGGTCTCAATGGTGTAGATTCATTCTCTATTTACCTTTGTATTCAGCGAGTTCCTTCTCCAATAATATTGAATGTCTTTACTGTTTTCTACTACTATTATTACTGTTGTCACTTACACTGCTATGATGTTTGACGTGATGATATTTTCCTTGTTGTGTTAATAAGGTGATGTGTATTGGAAACGTGAACTAATGCACATATGTAAAAGATTCTACATTACTTTCGACTGACTGACTGACTAACGTTCATATTATCCTCCTTTTATTTATTCTACTTTTCAGTATGACGGATATACAGCTTGTCCTATAGTTACAGGTTATAATCGTGGTATTATAGCGGAATTTGATTATAGAGCTAAACCATTAGAAACATTGCCTATTGATCAAGGGAAAGAACGTTATTTATTCTATTTTACAAAAACATACCTTCTACCACCACTTTATTGGGATGGACTTTTAAGGTGAGTTCACATTGGTATTTATTTAACTGTAATTTACACCTCTTTTCTATTTTAGTAATATTTATGTCTTATAACTTTATATTATGTAACATACTAAACATAAGACGAGGTTGAGTTCTGTTAGAGATATATTAATGGATATTAGGTTTCATGTCTTCCACAAAGTGAGAAGATATTTCATCTTCAAAGATCTGTAAATGAAAATCCGAGAATGAATGGTATAGTTCTTATCGATTCAACAACAAAACCCGCGAATTCAGAGGCACATGACCTAACATTATTTTAAAATGTTTTACTCTGTGTGATTCTTCCTTGAAGTCACTAACTTCTAGTCTTAACCATGTTGGTAAGTGCAGACTACCTAGTTGGGGTCCGCGCGATTATCGTAACCAATGGTTGGAGACTCTAGTTGACATGGCTCGGAATCGATCACAATGGCGTAGGTGTATACACTCTTTGTCTTCCCTTAAACTATGAGATTGAAATTATTTCACATCTTTCCTTCTACGAACTAATTCTTTCTTTCTGTACTATAACCTTACATAAAATCTTTCCTTTATATATTACACCATTGAGTTAACTGCTTCAATGAATCCGGTGTTCGCCTTGCTGAAAAATGAGGTGTGCCAACTGGGACCGATGCATGTATATGCCTGGTCCTACATTTTAACTGACTGACTGATACCGGCAATATTTAGGGCGAAGTAAGGTGTGTTATTACGAAAGATGAAATTTCTCTAATCCCAAACAGATTTGCTGGAGATGTTTGTTAACTTTTAAAAATAATCTATCGCTATCACACTGCAGTGCATTCGGTACTATTACTGTTTCTAGGAACAAGTGTTACAACTACTGTTACTGGATAAAGTCTTTATGATGCGTGACCCTGACCGTCAAGTTTAGATAGTAACTTATAATCTATCTATACTGATACAGTCTGCAGATTGAATCTGTGAACTCATTCAGTTGGGTAATATTTAATTATATTTATTTAAAAGGTCTAATCGGGAACTATATGAGAACTAATTTATCTCCTACTAGATTATAGCAGGATGTTTTATACTTTTACTAATACTCATATATCAACACCTATCAATAGTCTGATGATTACACCTATCTGTCGAACTCCATATTGGAGTAAATATTCCCTCCCAAAATATTATTTAATGTCTCCCTCTACATATATTATATATTATATTCAAATCATTTCTACTACGAGTTCATTTTTCAACCAATCCTAACTATACATGCACTACCAATTTTTAATACTGACTATGATCAGAGTGCATAAATTATCTTAACTAAGTGCATTCTATATATGTGTGTACTTCTCTATTGTAATAGAAAGCTATGATATTTTAACAATTCTGTATCTAAATTCAGTTTAATTGTATGCTGATTGTTATCGCAATATACATGTCGCTAACCCTCGTATATTTTTATCGACTTAATTCACGTTTAGTGAATAACGGAATAAAAATAAGTTAATTACGAGAATAAAATTCGATTGCATGCATGATATGCACCCACTGACCTGGACAAACAATCAGGGAAACAAAATGACGCTCAGCGGAGAAGGCGAGTGAGCCAACTCGTTTTGAACAAGTGTATGTCGATATTTATAGTCAGGCAAAAATCAGTTGCAGATCATATAAAAGCAGTTAGGGTTAATAAGCGAATAAGTGATAAGCTTAAAATGGAGTTCAGCTGCGTCTGTTGTGAGATAGTAACTCACTGATGACAATGGTGGATGTGTCGCTCAATTTCGTAGATTAGTTGAAGTTAGACTTTAACACCGTTGGACGCCGACCGGCTCAGTGCGCGAAACCGATAGGTTCTGGGTTCGGATCTCACGAGGCGGGATCGTGGATGTGCACTGTTGAGGAGTCCCGCAGTAAGAGGAAGCAACCTTCCAGTGCTTCCAGGTTTTCCATGGTGGTCTAGCTTCAATTGACTCGTGATCCTAATCATTAAAAAACTTATCTTCAATTTATTCTTCTGAAATCAATCGTGTTCTGTTTTTTTTTCTTTCTCTCTCTTTTACTAGAGGAATATGGTCTGGTCCAAAAACTATCCGAAATCTGCTGCACTTACATCGACCTTCATATTCAGATGCAGAAAAATGATCGTTTAAATACCTTGAAGAAAAATAATAATTTTCTGACATTTCCCATGTATTCTTTCTCTTATCATGAGCGTGTGTGTGTGTGTGGATGTGTATGTATGTGCCTATTATTATGTAATTGATTATTTCCTAAACATTTACACATTGTGTTCTAGTTCCATTGACTTTTTCTCTCTAGTTTCATGTTTGCGTAACAAAATAATAACACATTTTCATTTTGTTCATTGATTTGATTGTTATAGGTAAGTGTGCATTTTCCTCGTCAACGAATATCATAATAACGTCCATTCTCAGATGTCAATGCCTATCCCTTTATACCTTTTAATGGTCGTCTACTGAATTACGTAATCATCAATAGCTACTATTCAACTAAATGAATATTATATATGTTATGCACATTGTAAAGGTTTCGACACTGATAATGTTCATATACTTAGTTAAGTTTGATGAATGTTTATTGTGTGAACACAATACTTAGAACTGGAGGTATGCATCCAGTTCATGAAATTCCTTGTAGGATGCATATACCCGTCTTGGATTTAACTGTTATTTACTATCTAGTAGTACAATGTTACAAATAATAATTGAAGAATTTTACCATTATCAACAGTATCATAAATTTTATTTGAATATCGATTTGAGCAATAGTTTATCAGCTTACTAATGACTCTACTTCTAACCTGTTATGTTCAAGGTAAAATTCTGCTCTAGGTAGCCACGTCGTACAATCACCAACTCTTACATTAAAAAAAATGTTTGACAGTAAATCTCATTTTTCTATAGTTTACGTTACAAAATAACTTCAGTTAGACAACCATTCAATAACAGAAGGGATTGAATAGTTATGGAACATTTTAATAACGCTACTCCACCTTTATATTAATGATAATCATTTAAAGTGTTAATTCCTGTAGTTCTAATGAGAGGTCATGATCAGTGTCGTTCAACCATGTCGGTTGTGGGTCAGGTTTTTACCAGTGGCTGTTAGTCCGTCAAACTAAACGTAGAACCTGACACATGTGTCATTTGATTCAAGTTGCCATACCCCATCAGTATAGCAAGACGAAACTTTCAGGGAAAATCCCTGAGTATTTGGTTTAATAACAGTATTAGTGATAATAAAAAAAGGTTACTCGCCAAAGGTACGATTCTAGAAAAAAATATATAAATTAGCGAAATTTAAAAAACCTTTATGAGGGAATTTATAAACTTGGAATCTAAGGGGAAGACAAATAGTGAATACAGCTATGCCACATCAAACGATTGTTAGCTATGTCACCTAAAGTTCCTGAGTGCTTGTTTCACGCAGACCTAAACCAAGTAGTATGGACCTACCTACAGACTCAGTCCAATGATGAATGTCTTCAAGAACAGGTGCCATATCTTAGTTTGGCACCCACTTTTTTTCTCCCATCATACTACAGTGAACACGATCACGCGTCAAGATAGTTTGTGGGTGAGCTTACGTAAAGCGTGTCCTATTAGTCTAAATCGATAGATGCTCACTACCTAAACCTATTTGTCATACCTGATACTCAGAGTTGCTAGCTCAATGGTCCCAAGGTATAAAAAAGTGGTTCGAAGACGCATGACCAAATATTAGTGAACTACGAGTATCCTGTACTTTTAGCGACGACGTGTAACAGCCACAAAGTAAAATGGAGCAGAATGTTAAGGAATTAACTCATCATTTGTTTGGCAGACGGACATCTTGCCCAAGTCACATGTGATGCAACTGGTTAGAAGTCAACCAAGCTTGCTGAATTCGTACAGAGATTCCGTCAAACACCGACTCAACAGGACCGGTGAAACTTCCAAGAAAAGGGGAGTGATCGATGTATTCAAGTACTTCACTCCTGGTCATTGAAATGTCAATTGGTTAAAGTTATAAATCTAAACCATTGGACTCAAACTCAGATATGAATGCCAAGCAGTCACCTTGGAACTTAGAGATTCTGGTTTTAGTCTATGGTAAGATGATGAACTCACTTATTCAAAGAGTCCCATTCTAAAACGATATAGCTATTCGATGCTTTCTAGTTTTCAATGTTTATCTTATTCATATCAGTTTGTAATATAAATCATAAAAATTTAACGATTCATTACATTGAGTCGCATTATTATTCTAATTAATGGCAGATTTCTTATCTTATATCATTATACTGTGTATAGTAACTACAAGTTGAACGTGTTAACTATGACAATATAAACATGCGTGTTTATTCAGTTATCATTGAAATCAGATGACAATTTTATGAATTTCTATAAGTGTAATGTGGCGCTGTTTGTTTGTTTATTCATTATTAGAAACATAGTATCTAGCGTAAATGTTTATCGATTCAAGGTATTACATAAAGGAATGGTATTCTCCAGCCAATCATTGTTCATTAATAATCACATCTGACCGAATCAATATGCACTTACCAATTTACTTTCTCATGTAGAGTTAGGTATATAGGTCGTTTGATGCGTACTTTATCCAAAAGAATTCAAGAACATTACCAGGCGTGGCTAAAAAGAAGAGGCAATTGCTCAATAAGAAGTTCTATAATCGAACTACTCGTGCACACAGTTCACGCAATCAAGACAGACTCTGCGTTCAAAGTCATCTACAAGGTAATTAGAAGTCTTCCAAAGACAATTGGATTGCATTGCCGGAGCTATAGTCATACATCTGGAAAAACCAGAATTGTATGTGCAAAAGAGATTGGTACAACCTCTTCTTCTACCATGGTCTTAATGTCTCATAACTTTTTTTCTTTCTTCATACTCTTCTTCCTTTACAGCCATCTTCCCCTCAGATATTCTATCCCCAACTGATTTATTTCTGTTTCTACGATCATCCTGATTAAATTTTATCTCAATTTCAACATTTTATCTTATCATGCTGAGCTATCCTTTCACAATGATAATTTCCCTATCTATCTTTTGATGATGAGAAGCCGTGACCAGTTGAGCTAATCCGTGTCGGGTAGAGACAGGTATTTATCTCAGTACAATGG